GCAAACAGAGTGTTTTGTTGTAATCGGATTTTGACAGTTTTTCTTTATCCAAAGGAAAATCAGATGTAATGTTTGTTATAAACCACTCCCACCAAATATGCTCTTTGTGTTAAAATTGTATATATACTCAAAGCTATAACTAGATGATCATCATTTCCTTTTCAAACACTCAACCAAGGACTGCAACTGCACCATACATTGTATCCTCTACTCTCCGATGAATATTTTTACTACTGTTCTCTGCGTTATTACAACCTACTATCCTCTACGAGTTAATAATTTTCTCCTGAACCGAACGAAGAATATCTTCTCAGAATATTTATCTGTGCCTAGAAACAAACCCTTCCAAATCAGATCCAGCAAACCAAAAACTTTTATTTCAATTTTTCCTACAAAATTGGTGCCACGAGCCGGGATGTCTGCAACTACAATTCTAAGCGCGCAATCAGCAAAGGAAAAACTTGAAAATCTCCAAGAAGTCAAAAAAATAGATCTGACGCAGTTGGACCAATTTCCGTAAGAAACTCGTCAACAGCACGAGGCTAGAAAAAGAATTATCAAAGAAAAAATATTGCACCTCAAGCTGCACATTGGCACACTCGAAACCATCAATACAAATTGGATCCAATACATTCAACAGGTTCCAAGATCAAAGAAACAACGGGAGGAGAAAAAAATACGAACAAATGGTTAGAGATAAAAAAGGTATTTTGAATTTAATAAATGAAGATAGAGGAATTATTACAACCTTAACTATGTATATGAATGACTCAGAGTTAGTACTCCAACGGATCAAACAAGGCGAAATAAACGAAATAAAGAACCAAGTCAAATAACTTATTATCTAGCAGTTAATTTACCCCAACTACTACTGTCTATATTAGGTGATAATCCGAAACTGTGGAGAGGATTCTGGAGTAGTTTCGAAGTAACAGTTCACTTGCAAAACATACCAGCTATCCACAAATTAAATTATTTAATGGCATGTCTCAAAGGAGATGCTTTGCTAGCCATAAAGGGTTATGACATAAACCCAGAAAATTATGATGTTATACGAAAGGTCCTTACTGAGAAGTTTGCACAATCGCACATCACCAAAAAATTGCTCTACAATGAGTTACATTCCATCAAGAAGAATGACCATGAATGGAAAGTAGCAATCGAAACCAACGAAAGAATACTTAGACAACTTGAAGCAATGAACAAAAACCTTGAACAATCCAGTATCGAAAACATCATTGAAAATAAACTACCCGCTTGGATTCTGGAGAAAGTGTATCAACAAAAGGAGGAACAAGAAATATAGTCAGTCGCAAAGTTAAGACAATTCTTAACGAGACTGATTCAAAGTAACGAAGAAGTTACGGAAAGCCAATATCTCGACATTATGGAGGAGCGAAAATTAACTAGAGGTAAAATTAATCCACGAATTCAAGATATTTTTCAGAAGAAATTTTGTCTCCAACTATAACGACTCTGCAAACATAGCTAATACGAAGAAGGTTAGTAAAGCTCGAAGACCCTGTGTTTTTTGCATAAGAATCGTTGGGATAATGAATGCCAAACTTATCCTAGTTTAGAACAAAGAATGCAACGACTGAAAGGAAATAACGCCTGTCTAAATTGTCGTCAACCAGGACATGCGACAATCGATTGTAAGAGAAAAAAAATGCGTTTCTGTGTTTCCATTGCAAAGGTCATAATACCGCGTTATGCTATACTAAATATAATGATCCAGCACAATCAGTCGAACTAACCAAAGAAGTGACAAATTCGACAATGTTAATCGACCCAATAATAGAATATTCGGGACGAATAATAGAATATTCGGGACAGGGAAACTTTGCTTTTTGCAAAGAGGTTAAGGTAATTAATTTGGATATGCAAGAGGCTTCAAATAAAGTCAGTTTTATTCGATAGTGGTGCTCAAGTAACTTGTATATCAAAGAAACTAGCAAAGAGATTAAATCTAGAAGATATTGATTACGAGCAAGTGAAGTTTGCAACATTCGGTAACAGGAGACCTCAACAATCCATTACAGCCAAAGTACGAATTGGAAAACTATTGAAGCAGATATTATACCTATAGTAGCTACAATAGTCAACTATTTAACAAGTAAGCTAAGAGTAATATCTATAAACCAAGGAGATGTATCAAAAATTTGAACTCAATTCCCATTAAAAGAAGAAAATAGCAGTTGGAAACAACTTGAGTTAATTATTGGAGTCGACCACCTCTTCAAGTTTATCCCGTTAAAAAAAACCCAAACTATAAATTCAGGGTTTTCTTTAATCAACACAATAGTCGGCCCAATGATTGTTGAAAGCGGATATATGGACAAGCATAGTAATCGCCTCAACGAGATGATTTATGACCCATACGAAATGGTAACACATATGGAATGCTGTTCCGTGCAGAACGAGGATCAAACCACCGTTACACCTTGTAATATGGACATTCTAGAGATTAATCGGTTCTGGAAGTTGGAATTTATAGGAATACAAGATCAATCTAATCTGCATGAGGGCGAACAAGCTTTAGAAAGGTTCAAGGAAAATATCACCAAAAATAATGGCAGATACCAAGTTGCTTGGCCGTAGAAAGAAACAAGAATCAAGTTAAATGACAATTTCGGGTTGTGTTTTGGTCGATTAAAATCTTTAATTAAACAACTTCAGAACAATGAACGCTTCTCAAATACGACGAAACGATTCGCGATCAGATACAATCTAACGTTATCGAGAAAGTATGTCCAGAAATGGACCAGGTTGGTATTATTCATTATCTTCCTCATCATGAAGTTATAACTCCGAATAAGGCTACAACCAAACTTAGAATTGTTTATGATGCATCATTGCATGAAAAGGGAAGAAAAGGACTGAAGATGTATTATATCGGGGACCTATAATTCTTCCCGATTTAGTAGGAGTACTGCTTCGTTTCCGAATGATAAAAATTGCGATAATAGCAGACATTGAAAAGGCCTTTTTACAATTGGAACTACTCCCTCAGAAAGAAACTGCACACGATTTCTTTGGTTAAAGGATATACGAGAACAAGCAACGGAAGATAATATCGAATACTATCGATTTCAACGAGTCCCATTCGGAGTAATATCTTCACCATTTTTATTATCGACAATAATTATCATTTGGAAAATTACGGAAGTAAACTTGCCGATGAAATCAACGTTGTAGTATCTACCAAGGGAACCGATGAAGCTCTTCTCAAATATCAAGAAATGAAAATCATCTTCAACGATGCCTCAATGAATGTTAGGGAATTCTTATCAAACGACAAAGAATTTAATTCCAAGATTCCAGAACAGGATCGAGCAGAGACAAGTGAGTTTAAAAAGATTCTTGGTATTAATTGGAACTCTGGTAGGGACATTATTCGAATAACCTTAAAACCTTGGAACTATCAGAAACCAACAAAAAGAATGATATTGCAGTTCTTAGCTTCTCAATATGACCCTCTAGGATTCCTATTTCCAAGCATAATACCGATCAAATTATTTCTTCAAACTCTTTGGAAGAAGAAAGTAAGTTGAGGTCAATTAATAAGTATGGAAAACCAGGAGACATTTCATATGCGCATGGCCAATCCATGTGAAGGAAATACCACGTATCGCAATGGACCCATCACAACCCACAAAATTCATGTTTTCTCATATGCTTCGTCAGTGGCATATGCTGCTTCAGTATACGTTATTCAAGAAAATGAAGCTTCTTTGATTTTCGTCAAATCACGAATTGCTCCCATCAAAGGTATGACTATTCCAAAACTAGAATTATTAGCCGTGCTCATAGGAGTACGAGCTGCTCAATTTATTATTAAACAAATGAAACTAGAGAACATTAAAGTCATATTATGGTCAGATTCCAAATGTGTATTACACTGGATACATAACCATTCTCGTTTATTGCCAAAATTCGTCAAAAATTGAGTCAAAGAGATACTACAAGCAAAGTTCTCATTTCGCTATATTCCAAGTGAATTTAATCCAGTAGATGTGGCTACCAGAGGACTATCGCCACTTAGGTTAACAAAGGGAGAGTCAGATTGGCCACATTTGGTAAGCAATATTGGTGAAGATTACAATGAAAGTGAGAATGAGGAACAAAATCAGAAGATCGCCGCGCATATCACTATTAACAAGGCCTTCAAATTAATCGATGCAACAAGACTCAGTAAATGGACAAGATATTGATAAGAGCAAAGCATGGGCTTTGAAATTCTTAAATTTAATATCTAAGCAAAAAATCCCTTGGTTAAACAATCATCAGGAAAGAACCGACTCAATAGTGACGATTATGAACTAGCCATATATGTATTAATTAGACAAGTCCAATCGGAAGGAATAACGGAAGAAGATTAAATGGAATCTATACTATGAAAAGGGAGTGTGGGAATCAAAAAATTGCCTAGAATATGCAGAATTGGACGAGCAAAGTTTGCATCCCATATATCTTCCTAGACATAATCGTATAACCGAAATCTTTATTCAACAACACGAAGAAATGTTTCATCCTGGAACAGCTCATACGATATCAAATTTAAGGAAAAGGTTTTGGATACCCAAAAGAAGAACAGAAGCTAAAAGAGTTTTGGATAAATGTATGGGATGTAAATGATGGAAGGGAAAATTTTTAATTTAAACTACCAAATTTTTTAATTTTTAATAAACATTTAAGCTACCAACCATGCCTAATTATCCAGCAACTCGAGTAAGACGAGTACGAGCATTCGCACGAGTTGGATTGGATTACTTAGGTCCCGTTTCTATCAAAACAGAAACAGGAGTTACAAAAAGATGGGTTGCCTTATTTACATGTTTTACTACTAGAGCAGTGCATCTGGAATTAGCAGCTCATCGGCAGAAAGTTTCTTGAATGTCTTCAGAAGATTTGTTGGACGACGCGGCTATCCAGATATAATTCTAAGTGATAATGCAAGTCAATTTCAACTAGTTTTTTAAACTTTAATGAAACAAAAAACACGATTGACCGAAATCTTGGCTAGACATGGAATGAAATGGAGAAATATAATTCCGAAGGCGCCCTGGAGCGGAGGAGTTTATGAACGGATAATTGGTATAACGAAAGGGGCATTAAGAAAGGTTACTGGAAAGAAATTACTAAAGGAAAAGGAATTTATAACCTTAATAATAGAAGTAGAAAACATACTTAATACTGCCCGCTAACGCAAATTTTGATGATTCCATAATTCTAAGACCTATAGACTTTATCGAACCAGAGCTATGTTTAATGATACCTACTAGTAATACTGATGTTTAGGATGATTATTCCCTTACAAGTTAAGCACTCATGAGAAACTTATTAAATACTGGGCAAGTATAACAAAAACTCTGGATATGTTTTGGGAAATATGGAAGGAGGAATACTTAACTGACTTAGAGAACGTAAACAAGTAGAACACAAATCTCCGAGACGTGTAGAGATTAGAGCTCCTATTGAAGGAGAAATTGTGTTGGTAAATGAATCAAATGGTCCTCGCGGTAAAGGGCAGGATAATAAGAAGTGCTCTAATAGAGTTACCACGAGGAAGATTAATGAATCGACCTATAAATATGTTATACCCACTGGAAATTAAACGGAAAGAAGGAACAAAGGATCAAATAGTAACGTCGGAGAACTCGATAAATCAATCAAAGCAAAGCACTGAACAGGATGGACCCATTGCACGAAGAACTAGAAGTGTGCTACAAGAACAGCAAAGAACTCCAACAGAAATACGAAGGAAGTCGAATTCTATAATGAAAGCCTGAAGTCCCTAATTCCTCCAGTCGGGAGTGTCGCGAATTTTAAATATCGCGAAGCTCCAAATGAAATAAAATGATTAAATAAACCAATGCACTAATCAATCACACAAATTGTAACAATGTCATGAATCATTTAACCAATTTTACATCCCTCAAATTCATTGTCTCATGCGTTTTTCTTTGTTATCTTTATCTAAGTTCACATCCTTTCTTTTTTATGGAACAAAGCACACTCGTAAGCTAAATTTTTTGTCTGAGAACCAATCTTAATTGCAATGCTTAATGTTGCAAACAGAGTGTTTTGTTGTAATCGGATTTTGACAGTTTTTCTTTATCCAAAGGAAAATCAGATGTAATGTTTGTTATAAACCACTCCCACCAAATATGCTCTTTGTGTTAAAATTGTATATATACTCAAAGCTATAACTAGATGATCATCATTT